TGTCATGGAGTTCCCCAACCATAAAGTTATTTCATTGCTACTTCATAACTATACTTTTGCTACTGTTAATGAGTCATAATATAAATATCTGATACACAAACCCTGAGAAAGTGTTGTTCCACCAAAGGGGCCACTGCTTTAAAGGAACATTTTTGCATCCTTTAATACTTACAAAGCAATGGATTCCATCTACTGAATTAAACCTAAAATTAAAGCATAAAAGCTGGATTTGACTAAAACATAATACTTTTATTTTAAAAGTGTCACTTGTAATACTTTAAATACGCAATTTAGATGGGACAACAATCAATTAGAGCCAAGTACTGTCATGACTGACGAGATGGTCTCTATCAAGAGTATATAAACATTTCTCTGTGTGTTTCTCTCTCTCTCTCTCTCTCTCTCTCTCTCTCTCTCTCTGTGTGTGTGTGTGTGTGTGTGTGTGTGTGTGTGTGTGTGTGTGTGTGTGTGTGTGCTCGCGCGTGCTAAGAATGGCATTAGATCTGCTCTTAGTAGGCCTCAGGTATATAATACTAACTGCAGGTACATTATTGAATGTTCAATCTCTAGAACTTGTTTGTATTACATAACAAATCTGCCCCCTTTGATCTACTTATTGTCTCTTCCCCCTCAAACCCATTTAACTATCTTCCACATCTATCTCCATGAGTTTAACATTTTCAGATGTCATAAAAAGTGATATATGCATCATATGGTTGGGGGTTTAGGGTAGAAGTTATTATAGGAAAGGTGTTGTTCTATGTATCTGTCTATGCATCTGTTCATGCATCTGTTCATGCATGCATCCATCCATCCATCCATCCATCCATCTATATCCCAGACAGGCTTAGAACTGACTGTTTCAGAGAATGACTTTGAACATGGATCCTCCTGCCTCTATAGTTCCCAAGTGCTAGAATTACATAACATTATGTAACACATCTTTTTGTTTGTTTTTGTTTTTTGTTGTTTTGTTTTTTGTTTTTCAAAACAGGTTTCTCTGTAGCTTTGGAGGCTGTCCTGGAACTCACTCTGTAGACCAGGCTGGCCTCGAACTGACAAAAATCCTCCTGCCTCTTCCTCCCGAGTGCCAGGATTAAAGGCGTGCGCCATCATGTCCCCTCATTTCACTTAATATATCTATGGGGTTCATTTATTGTCAAAGTAGCAGGATTCCTTCCTTTCTAAGGCTGAATGGCTTTTTGTTGTAAATACATACACACCTTTTATTTATTCATACATTGATAGAAACTGCAGATGCTTTTGTGTTTTGGATGCCATGAATAATCCCACAATAAACATGTCCCACGGATGTCTCTTCTCATCAATCATACCATTCCTTCTGTATATGGACCCAGAGTAGGACTGTTGGGTAACAAGCTACTTCAAGTTTTCATTTCTTGAGGAAGCTATTGTGTTTTCAATAATGATTATACAAAATAAGAGTTCCATTATATACAAAGATGCCTTCTTCTTCATATCCTCACCAACAGTTGTCACATTTCACTTAACTATATCCATTCTAACATATGTAAGGGACATCTCATTTTGGCTTTGGTTTGCATATCCCTGATTATAATAATATTCAACACACTTTCATAGACATGCTTAGCTCTGTGTATGTCTTTTGAGAACTGTCTACTCAAAGTCTTTACTAGAAAACTATACAGTACAGGATTATACAGTACATGCATGCTTACTTAAAACAGAAAATACTACTATAATCACACCTTGCAAAAAAAGCAATTAACAATTTTACATAAACAACATTTCTCCAAGAACATCTGTTCAGTAATTGGCTCAAATTTGATGGGCCCCAAACCTTTTTGTTATTCCTTTTTGGTAAGTCAATGGTTATTTTATCACAATAATTTATATCTTCCTTATTTTTGCTGGAAATTTTATTTAAGAATATATATGTATGCACATATACATACAAGCATGTAACATGGATTTTAAAAAAGGTCATGGATTTCAAAGAGATCAAAGCAGGTAATATGAGAGGGTTTAGAGGGAGAAAAGCAGAGAAACAGTATAACTTCAAAAGCAAAAAAAAAAAGCTACTTCCCCTTGCCTCCACCTTTTTGAGTAGTTTACTATGGCGTACGTATTCCCTTTGCAATGTTCCTTCATTTCCAAACAAATGTATGAATCTTTGTATAATCATCCTTTATACATTTAGGTTGGTGACCACTAGAGACCAAGAGCTTTACTTTTGCTAACCGTCTGACAATAGCCTAAACACACCAGATCTCTTCCTTCTCCCTCTCTCCCTCTCTCCTTCCTCTCTCCCTCTCTCTCCCCTTTACTGCCTCCCTCCCTGCTTCCTTCCTGCCATGCCCTACATTCCCTTCCTTCCTTTCCCTCCACTCTCCTCTCCCTGCTTCTCTCTCTTCTCTTCTCTCTCCATTCACTCTTTCCTCACTCTCTTCTGTCCTTTCTATTAACAACTATGAGAACAACTGGCCATCTATACACATTCTCTGAAAGTTGCTTGTACAGTTTGCTAGCTTCTATTGCTCCTCTTACAAAGGAGACATAGATTTTGTTTATTTTCTAGCCTCGCTTGAACTCTTATGTAAGAAACATCACTACTTTAGGGAACAGCAAAGCTACAGAAAGCCATTAGCCTGAAACACATAGAAAGCACTCTAAAGACAGACCACAAGAGCCTAGGGTCAAACCAGTTGACTTCAGCACAGTATGATTTCTTAAAACCCTAAGCTAAGCCAGTTCCCTACTGGAAGAAAACAAAGGGAGTAACAAAAGTCAAAACATAGTATCTCTCCTAATAGAAGAATAAGAAAACAATAAAAAGCACCATGAAAAGAAGACAGTGTCATGGTATCTAGATTTTGAGGTTTCTTTTCTGAGGAAGTATACTTTGTAACTTGGGAATTTTTACTATACACCATTATCCAAATTTAAAGACATAATACAGACATTTTCAGAAATGCAAGGGACCTAAGTATTAACTACAACATATCCAGACTGGGATGATATATAGATTTATTATACTGAAAAAGAATGATAACCTGATGGTCACGTAGGCACATGGTTTTAATTCCAGCAATCCATGGGTGGCAGCAGAGGAGTGATGGAAAAGGACAAAAAAAAAAAAAAAAAAAAAAAAAAGATGAAAGGGAGAAGAATGAGGAGGAAAAAAATGGGCTATAGAAAACAATTGACTCTACTTCAGGATGACATGTCCTGGACTGACAGTAACCAGCAAAACTAGAGAACAATCAGCTTATTAAGGGCAGGAAAATGGAGGTTCCTAGAGAAAAATATCACAGAGAACAGGTACATTTGAAAATTATGTAGCATCACTTTGAAATAAAATGTAGCTGTGATAACAAAGATGCAAGAATTAAAGGACTAAATATGTCAGTATAAGAAACTGTAACCTAAGTATAAAGAAAAAAACATGAGATGGTCTAAAGGAACAAAAATGTATTAACTAATTCTCTCTGAATGACACTCATTAAGAATGCACACTGTAGAATTCTCTGAGAGGAGCCAGGCGGTGGTGGCACACGCCTTTAATCCCAGAACTCGGGAGGCAGAGCCAGGTGGATCTGTGTGAGTTCGAGGCCAGCCTGGTCTACAGAGTGAGTTCCAGGACAGCCTCCAAAACAATACAGAGAAACCCAGTCTCGAAAAAAAAAAAAAATTCTCTGAGAGGCAAAATAAAGCACTATAAATGCCACCAGAGCAAGGCCAGAGTGAATGGCACTTGTTGGCATTGGCAGTTTACACAGTGGGGAGTAGAGTGAGGCCAGGGCTACTGGAAGATCTAAATGTGTCATCACACTAAGTTTGAAAAGATAACTACAGAAACTAAGCTTAGCATGGTGTACTTGCCAGTGGAATTTGAGGAATAGTATTCAAAATGGACACACCAAGAAAAGGAATAAATTGAGAGTAATTATATATGAAAGTGAGGACTGGCATTCAAAGTGTCACAAAAGATTATTTAGTATAAGCTTTATAATAATGGTTTTCTTGTAACAACATGGAGAGCTATTTGAATAGGGATTCAAGCAGGAAAAGAGATTAGTTCAAGATTTTTAGTGAGAACTTACATTCTTTTCTACAGAAATTCATCTGTCCCATTAGAAAAATGGGAGTCCTTGTCTTATAACTAGACCTACACCTTTTGAAGGTACTATTAATAACTATCACTGAATATTAACCCAAGGATAAATGATTTGATAAAGGGTAAAGGAGGTTGTGTGGAGATGACAGTTTTACTCTTTTAGTAAGTTGCAATGACAGTTTATAGGTTCTCTCAGTGTTGGTGACTATGAAGAAGTCAACAGAAATAAAACTACATGGCTTGCCTTCTCTTAACCTCAACATTTTAGCAGCTGGAGTCAGACATTATCAGGAAGAAACGTTTACCATAAGCATCTGGGACTCATCCATGTCAACAGCTTCTCTTTAAGAAGGATATTCTTTATTTTAAATATTAACCAACTCCTAAGGGCTGTTTTAGAGAGAAATCCCTTTCCTTCCTATTCCTATCAGCCCTGTACTTGAAGTTCCAGTCAGTTCTAGGAAATGAAAAAGTAACTCCCTCCCCAACATGCTCAATGTGTCTTAATTCCATAAGTAAAGACTGCAGAATAGCCCCTGCAGGGGGATGGGCACAGTCTCGCCTGGAACCCCCAAAGCCTACTTCCAGATGTGAGCCCCAAGGTAGACAGACCACCAGACCCAGGCTTCCAACCTATTTCCAGATGACAGCCTGAAGGAAGATGAGCATAGCGAAGATCCAATTCTTATTCCAGATGTGGGCCAAAGGGCACAGGAGTAAATTGCAACATCTTTCCTGCCATGTGTAATGCCCTAAGCAAGAATGGCTACTCATGCCTCTCCAACAGCACTCCATATTGTCTCCAGAGAGCTAAGTCTCCAGAGATCAAAGTGCCATTACTCTGACACTCATCACTTGCATGTTTTTCAGCCTCAATGCCAAAAGACCTGAGCTTTCTCACCTGAGTCAAGGTGCTGAGCTCTGGGCACACTTTGGAGATAAGATTATTTTGCAGGTCTAGAGTCCTCAAACCAGGCAGCTTTTCTAGTGCTGAGGGCATCTTTCTTATCTTCTTCCCATTTAAAGTAATGATCTTAGTGTTGCTACCACCCTTCAGTGCTCTTAACAACAATCTCTCAGTCATGATTTTTGAAAAGGTAACCATGATGGAGGAGAGTTTCCTATTATATATCTTCAGAACATCTAATTGCAGAATTGTTGTGTCATAAAAACACAACCACCCCCCATTATGATGAAGGTAGGAGATATTAGATGATTTTCTAGCTAGAGAGGGGAAATAGCCACTGCAGGTTGGGCCAGAAAGCATAGAAGACAAGGATTGTGTATCTTATGGAAGACACATGTAAAATACCAAATACTGAGATCACACCAGGAGGCAGGATAAGCTTTGGGGGTCTTCCACCAGTTTGAGGTGAAGAATGCTGACTATCTGGGAGTGGGGGGAGTATCTAGAGTGGATTGAACCTTGGAGTTTATTTTTAAAAAAGAAAGAAAAAAGAAAAGAGAAAATTCATTAATCATTACTTGGAGTGGATGGGACATCAGCTCGGCCTGAAAACGAATAAAGAAGAAATGAATCAAGCATTTATTACATTATTCCAGTACAAACTGCATGTCAATATATTCAAATGGTTTACAGCTTTCATTCATATAGCAATTGCAACTAATAAATGAAAAAGGCCTTAGAAAAATCCATCATTTCTCCAAGTTCTACTGAAATAAAGAACCAACACAAAAATCAAACTTGACTGCTAGGTTGCTAGGAACAAGGTTAATAACCCCATTAATCATTGTAGCCATTTGAAACTGAAAACAGCATGTGGGATGAAATCACCTGATGGAATGAGGCAGAGTACAGATGAAATGCTCATGCATAAAACAAGACTTGCCTCTAATACAGCTTTGTATTCTAACCAACACCTACAGAAAAGAGTGGAACGCAAAGCAAGCAGAAGTCACCCTCAGGGACTCATTCCCAAGAACATGGGAAGTGTTAGATCACATGGTAATCCCTGAGTTTGCATTTGCATTAATTGAATAAAATTAACCTCGAGTCAGGAGGCTGAGCTAGCAACTAGTTGGCAGAGAGTAATCATAGAGCTTCAGAGGGCATCCAGGAGAGAGAGAGGCACAGGAAATAGTAGGGTGGAGTTTGGAGTGGTGCAGCTTTTTCTGGTTTGACGAAGAGGTCATGATATAAAACACTGCTCTATAAGGGAAAAAAATGAAGTTTCAACAACTGCATAATTAAAAATAAAAACTGTTCTGAAAATGGGCATTGAATATTAGCCAAATGAAATCTGTGTACATGGACAGAACCTTGATTTCAATAAAAACAGGAAATCTTTGATTCTGTTGTATACAAAATGGTATGATATGAACAGTAGGACTTATTTTACATGTAACCAACATTTAGAAATGCATACTGAAATTTTCAGATAAACTCTTTAAAATAATCTAGAAATAGAGGAGGCAGGTGAAGAAACAGATGGACACAATGTTGATAATTATTGATGCTGAGGAAGAGTTACACAGAGGGTTCTTTACACTACCCTACTGACTGGAGGATATGTTCAAGATGGCAGAAAAAAGAAAAAGCTGTAGTCAGTGACCTTTGATCATTAAAACCCCATCTATACCTAGACATGAGGATGCCTGAAGGCACTTGGATTAGACATGTTGCAAACTTAGATTATGATTTCAAAATATTTTAACATTATGATACTCTGCCCTCAAAATTTTCAGAACACAACTCTAATGCAAGAACTGACTATAAAGAAGTGAATGAGAGCGAGGCGGTGGTGACAAACACTTTTAATCCCAGCACTCGGGAGGCAGAGGCTAGCGGATCTCTGGGTTCAAGGCCAGCCTGGTCTACAGAGCTAGTTCGAGGACAGCCTGAGCTGTCCTGAACACAGAGAAACACTGTCTCCGTGGGGAAAAACCATAAACAAAAAATAAGTGAATAAGAAAGTTAAAAGGCTCTGCTCTTGGGGCTGGAGAAATAGCTCAGCAGTTAAGAGTACTGTCTGTTCTACCAGAGGTCCTGAGTTGAATTCCCAGCAACCGTATGGCGCTTACAACCATCTTTAATGAGATCTGGTGCCATCTCTGGCTTTCAGGCATACATGCAAGCAGAACACTATAAATAAATAAATCTTTTTTTAAAAAGGCTCTGCTCTCAAAGAAATTATAATCCAGTTGTAGAAAACAAATAATCATGATATCTATGTAAATCTATCTAGTCTAGTAGATGGGCACAGTTCCTATAGGCAAAAAGCAAAGAGGAGAAAGAAATGAGTAGGAGGGAGTTTACAATGTTAGGTAAGGACAACAGGGGAAGCCTCACTGGGAGGTACTTCCAACACAAGTACAGCTGGTACCACAGTTCTGAAAAAGGAACACTAACCTAACAACAGCATGACAAATGTCACTACCATCATAAGAAAAGCTGGTCATGAGTGGCTTCCAGCTGTCAGTATAGATAGAACCATTTATAGGCACTTAAGCACTGCCTTTTTTCTTTCAACCTTAGTTTATTAGAAAAACTATTAAGACTCTACACACGAAGTTTGTGTGGAGTTACCTTTACAAAGTCTTACTCTTAAGACTGAAGAGAAGGCTCAATGGTCAAGACTTGAGTTTGGCTCCCTGAACCCATGTCCTGCAGCTCCAACCACCTGCAACTTCAGCTTCATATAATCCAACACACTCTTCTAAACTCTGAGTATACCTGCACTTATGCACACATATGCACGTGCATGCACACACACATACACAATCATATACACACAATTAAAACAATAAAAATTCAAACTTAGGAAACTCATACTCTGATTTCTCATGATTGTATAAGCCTTTCTGCTGCATACAGGCTGGTTAACACACTTGCTGCACAAGCATAAGGATGAAAGTTTGGATCTCCAGAACTCATTAAATACAAGGTAGGTTTGGTGGCTTACCTGTAAATCCAACTCTGGGAATGCAGAGACAAGGAATTCCCAGAGCAAATTGGTTAGCTAAGGTAGAAAGCAGCAAAGACTCCCAAATGCTACCTTGGGCTTTTACATGTGCATCCCTGCGCGTGCGCGCGCGCGCGCGCCCACACACACACACACACACACCACACACACACATATGAACATGAATATGCACGTGTACACACATACCAGGAAGAATCTTTTAAAAGATCTGTGTCACCATTACCTCTTAAGTGACTATTGTGTGTCATATCCAACATCCTAGATGGTACCCAAACACTGGAAAGTTGTTAATCACCTAAAGAAGGAAAAGAGGCCACTGTAACCTGATCCTGCTTCCTAATGATCTGACAAACCTAGACAGCAATGTAAACTTTCAACCCCTCTTCTACCATGCATAGTAGGTAATCAATAGTATAAATACAACCTACTCTGCTTATCTGTTGCCATGAAGCCACCACACGACGTAAAACACTTTATCCACCAATCTTAATTTGAGACAAGCCCATGTTTCTTCCTTTGATGACAACTGTGGCAGCACAAAGGATGGACCAGCAGAAGTCACCAAAAGGCCCACTTTCCCATATCTTTGGAAGTGACACTGGTTGTTGACTGGGACCTTCAGGTGGTCATCTTGGACATGTGGCTTGGCTCTTAGGGTAGGAACATTACCTCCATAACTTACCTTGCAAGTCACAGGTCATTATTTCTAACATAATCTTTTGATTAGAAAGAAGCAAGCCACTGAGGTCTGCCCACATTTCAAATGAGACAAAATTTTATTTCTTGGTGGCAAGTGAGAAAAATAAAATTATGGTCATATTTTGAAAGCCAACCATGACCCAGTCTAATCTTTTGTTTTTCAAAAAAAGACTTGCTTTCTTTGAATACTGTATATAGGAAATGATGAAAAAATGATATCATATGACTGGCTTCTGAGAAAAACCTTTGCAAGGCTCATCAAAGTAAAAGCACATACCAGTACTAAATTTTTACTGCTAAATAATATTCCATTATACCTACATATCACTTTTTAGTCATCTGTGAATCTGTGTGAATGGCATTTAGGCTGTTTCCGCTTTTTTGATCTTAGAAATAACACTGACTTAAGTATTACAATGTATACATTTGCATTTTACTAGGGGATATTCACACACACACACACACACACACACACACACACACACTCACACACACACACACACACAGGAATCGCTGTGCCATACAGTGCTAGCACATATACTCTTAGGAGGCACTGCCACACTGCGTTTCGTGGTAACTGTACCATTTTTACAATCCTACCCTAGTGCGCTTAGGTTTATTTTTTGCATTGTTTCAGTTCTATCCAAACTGACACAAATCCTTAAAAAAAAAAAAACTTAAGTGGGGCTTTCAAGTTCATTATCTACTCTTATCAAACAAGATCTAAGGCACAGCTGCCTCCGGCATGTGCAGACAGCCTCTATCTTGGATTTCCTTTAAAAGTTTGGGTTTTTTGTTTTTGTTTGTTTGTTTTTTATTATTATATTTAGGAGGAGAGTGAGGGAGTACCACAGCATATGCTGGAAGGTCAAAGTCAAGCTAGGGGAGCCAGGTCTCTCCTTCCACTGTATAAAAGCCAGGGACTGAATTCAGGTCTCCAGCTTGCTAGCTAAAACTTCTACTTGCTGAGCCGCCTCAGCAGCCCTCCATCTTGGATTTCCATATGACACTGCACTGTACCTTTAAGATTCTAGCTGTGGGTTCTAAACAAAATCTACATTCCATCAACTTCATCTTCACACTTCCTTTACATTTTCCTAGATGTGCTCCATCTGGGAGACATTTCTTACTTTGACCATCACTTACTATCTGGAGAGGCTAGGTGTATTAGCATTTTCTTTTCTTCTCTTTTGTATTAGCATTTTCTACAGAAACAGAACTGACAGAATGATACGTGAGATTGATTACAGTGCTTACAGTTTGTGGTCTGACTATTCCAACAATGGCTGTCTCCAGACAGAAAGTCCAAGAATCCAACAGTTGTTCAGTCCGTCCATCATGAGGCTACATGTCTTAGCTGGTCTTCAGTCTATGTAGGAATCCTTTAGAAGCAGACTCTAATACAAGTGAAGGAATGCCCTTGCCAGTGAGAGCACAGACAAGCAGGTAAGAAGCCAATGCTTCTTTCTTCCATATCATACAGAAAGTCGCCAGGTGTGGCATATACCGAAGGTGGCTCTTCCCACCTCAAATGTTGCAATCAAGAAAATTCCTTACTGGTGTACCTATCAGCTTGGGTTTAATTAACTCCATATGTAGTCCACTTGATAACCAAGTATAGTCATCACACTAGGAATGAAATGTTTTAGTCGGGCGTTGCTGGCACACGCCTTTAATCCCAGCACTCGGGAGGCAGAGGCAGGCGGATCTCTGTAAGTTCGAGACCAGCCTGGACTACCAAGCGAGTTCCAGGACAGCCTCCAAAGCCACAGAGAAACACTGTCTCGAAAAAACCAGAAAAAAAAAAAAAAGAATGAAACGTTTTATTGCTCAAACTCTCAAAGCCATGTTCCTGTGTATATAAATTTTCTTCCTGCTCATCTCTCTCATATTTTACTATCATCCTGAAGGTATTTTTTGACAAAACACTTAAAAAGCCCCTTGGCTAGAGCATCCAGTTGGTATCATATGTTCATTTTTCACTGTTAGTGCAAGTCACCTTACTAAACTCTCTGCTACATAACAGAAGTTACAGTTGTTTTAGCTTGCTATTTTCATCAACTCTTTAACCTTTTACCAATCACCTCATAGTACGACATTAGTCTCGAAGACTTTCCTTATATTCAAGGCCCACTCCCAAAACCCACTTAGGTATTTTTGTTATAGCAACAAAATCCGAAAATGAAAAAAAAAAAAAAAAACCAACTAGGCAACATATGGAAAATGGAGCCAGTGAGGGCTACTGCTTCCATGCCCAATGCCGTGCCTGCCCTGAGAAGCTGAAGGTCTGACAGAAGGCAGAGAAAATGCAAGCTCAGTATGAACACACTGCAGTGAGTAAGCCAGCAAAACTGCAAGTCCACATTGTGCCATATCAGGCAGGCTTCTCTACAGACACTCAACCAGTCAACTGTGTGTTACCCAAGGGAACGCAACAGACTAGCTTACACATTGGGGACTAGAGGGTCTAACAGTGAATTTCTTCAAGATGAAGAGGCAGAGGCCACAGAACCACTGAGTTTATGGAAGAGGACGCCTAGCTGTCCCAGTCTGGTAATGAAAGCCTGGAAGCTCCCTGGAGAGTTGCTAGTATAGAGTTCACCAAAGAAGGTCAAAACAGCTGGAGTTTGATGGCAGCAGCAACAGACACACTAAAGCAGGAAAGAATTGCAGATAAAGACAGTGCTTTCCTGGGCCCTCACTCTTGGAAGGTGACACCCACATAAAGGGCAGGCCTTGCTCCTCCATTAATCCTCTCTAGAAACACACTCACATACATGTCCAGAAGTATGCCAAGGTAGTTCTAAATCTAGCCAAGTTAACAGTAAAGATGAACCATAACACCCCTGCCAAACAACTGTACTGTTTTCCAAGTTGCAACTTAAGACTTCTAAATTGTGTGTGCAATGTCCTATAGTCAGAACTGGCTGGCCTAAAATTACATAGGATTCTGTGCTAAAATGTACATAACAGGCCTTTTTTTTTACAGCTCTTTACAAACTACTTGCAAGGGCATCAGGCACACTTACCCCTTCGCTCATGCTATACATTTTGCCTAGGCAACCTTTGTACTAAGTGAAACTGCTTCCATAAAGCAGACTTTAAACTTCACTTAGCAGGTTGTAGCTTCTATTTTTTGTTCTTTTCCTGTTTCTCCTTTGCAATTAAAT